GAGTTCGAATCCCCGTCACCAAACATGCTTGCCCTTTCAGCCTTGAAGGCATTATCATGTGATGGTTAATCATATTATTCTACACAACCTAGTGATTAGGACGTTCGGCTCGCAATCTGAGGGTCGTGAGTTCGAATCCCCGTCACCAAACATGCTTGCCCTTTCAGCCTTGAAGGCATTATCATGTGATGGTTAATCATATTATTCATTAGTAAAAGAGTAATCCAAGAGTTGGGGGTGGGTGGATGGTGTTGGTTACCTTCCCACTAGTCTTACACTGCTAAATTAGAGACGGCTAGGGCATATAGCCCTCGTGTAGCTTTGCGCGAATTTCCAAACCAACCTACTGTCTATAGAAATAATTTCTCTTGTTTTGGACATGAAACATATTGCTGCCCTATTCAAATTCACAAATTGAACGTTAATATTTGTTTGTGTAACATTTACATAAGACACACTGGAAACATATTTATGTTAACATTACTAATTTGTTAATTAGATGAGTCGCATTACACTTATAAACAATCCAATTTCTGTATACAATTATGCATATTTTGGTCAAAAGAAACGAAACAGTGGCACCAATTAAATAAGACGATCTCATAAAGTCTGTGCTGTCTCATAAAGAATTTATTGGCCTTTAAGATAAATTGTTCTGAATCTTCAGCAGACATCTTTAGTTCTCATGTATTCTGACACTCAAGTAAGTCATCAAAAACGAAAAGATCCCTTCGAGGTGCGTCTTATCGTGCCAAACCTGAACCTGCTTTAACTGTAAGACGCACACGCCGGAGACTTTATTGAATCTCGTTTATCTTTTTTTTTCCGTAAACCAAATCCATCATGGTGGAGTAGATCCCTTATGTCGGTTTTCGCCATAATCCTATTCGAACTGAAACTCCTTCAACAGAAGTTCTTAAAATCTCATCTGACAGCTTATCGCCACACTGGAGACTTCGAAAACGTATCAAAAATCATCAAATTTTCGAAATGTAACGTTTATAATACATAATAGAACATTATAGAACTTTGCTAAAAGTTTTCAGGGTAGTTTTTGTTGTTGTTGAATTTTACTTGATAACATAAAACTATGTTTTGAGCTGCCAACATTAGATTATCTAATTAGAAAAATTCTTTGGTTTTAACATTCCAGCATTATACAGGCACAATGCAATAGGCAACAAGTATAATAATAACCTAGATTAATCTATTCCCTTAATTCTGTGTAGGAATTAATTCTTAATTCACACTTGTTATTTTTTTATTATAAAATCAGCAATCTATTCAGACAACATCCATAGTGACTCATTGGTAAGCTGAAGAACTCATTGTGTGTTTTTTCTCAGAAATTAAGCCATTATAATTTACAACTAAACAGTACTAGCTGGTACATAATACTAATAATCTCAAACATTCAGAATTTTTATACAGTGCAAAATAGTAAATTTTCTGGCATATG